GACACTGTGTTCAACACAGGCCCCGACTCCAAGACGTCCATTTTATTTTCTGTCTACTGCAATTTGGTTTTTTACTTCTTCTAATTCAGTTCACTGTTTAACAAGTTTTGTTACACTCCTACAGTTCTAGCCCAACCTCCATAACTCTAACCAAAGCTGGTCCAATGTACTTCACATGTCCTAGATCAAATCACTGTTCTCAGGGAATGAAATTGGCAATCAATGTCACTCCCACCAGCACCTCTCCTGGTGGCTCACCACCATCACCGCCCTCAGCCACCACTCCATCGCCACCGGGGTCATCAACTACTCCGGACATTCCACTTTCACAGCCTTCTGCTACGGCCCCACCAACGCCCACTGGTGGTGCTACCAGGATTTTTGGTGGCTTTTGTCCTTTGATGGTTGTTTTGGTAGCCTTGTTTATGTTTGTGGTCTAGGCAAGAGGCAGTGCTGTTGTTGAATGAGGTGTACTTTTTATTTTTTTATGAATAATTGATGATTGGTGTGGTTTATTATCTTACATTTTTGTTTTTGGTCAGATGAAAGAACTACTCATTCTAATAAGATTGACCTTCTAAAATAGAGATCCTATACTCAATATGATGTATATAAATATCAACTTATAAAATTTACGTAAATTATGTACTATAATATTTTATTATCGTTAATGGATAAACATATTTCATTATGTCTCCTACGAAAATTTGCAAAAAGGAAATTTTTTAGCTTACAAATGTTGAAAAGGTAAAAATAAAAGAACTATTATGCATAAAAATGTGTTTAATATGATGTTATACTTGACCAATTCGAGTCCATTCAAGGCCACATAGGTGAGTATCCAACTGTAAACTTCAGGGCCCGGATATTTACGATTATCAAAAAAAAAAAAGAAAAAAAGGAAGAGAATTAAAATAGATGAAAATCGGGGGATACAAGAATTTTGTACAAGCATTCACATAGATAAAACATCATATTTACTTACTTTCTTATAGTAGAAATTAGTATAAATAATAAATAACGAAACTCAATTCTTTTTTTTAATATTACTACATTTCGAATTTGATAAAAATTATAGAACTACAACGTTGACTTTATTCATCGTAGAAACGATACTCTTAACTCACAAATCTAATCACTTGTACAACGATTTCGTACACTTGCGAATTTCTACTGAACAATGCTTTAAATGTGGCATGTAAAAGTTATTCGTCAAATTTTGACAATCATAATAAAACTTATTGGTTGAGAATTTTATATCAATTTTTTTTATCCGAATTTATATATCTCAACCCATTTTTTTTTTTTTTTCTCTTTTGTTGATTTTTTAACGAATAATTGAGATTTTATTCAAATTCAAGGGGAACAATAATTATATTTAAATATTAATAAAAATGTTTCTTCAAATAAAAACATATAAAATGCAATAATTAATTTTTTGCAGCTTTACATAAGCTAATAGCATAAACAAGAGACTTTGTATTTTAAAAAACATATTTTACAATTTAACGAGCATGTATAAATTTAGAAAATAAATTTTTTAAAAATATTCTAACAACCTCTTTATCTTTAATACTTAATTTTTACTACCCTTAATATAAATAAATTTATTATTTTTTCTAGCTTTCACCAATTTGCTTCCAAATTATTATATTACTTCCCCTCATTATTTTTTTGAAAATTGAAATATTTTGAATATATTTAATTATAAAAAGTCCACACTCTATTTAAAAATGTTAATTTGAATAGTCTTTT